ATTTAATATTGTTGTTTTACGAGATTTTAGAATATTTTAAGAGTTTTTAGAATTTCTTAAATTTTTTTTTAGATTTTTGGAAATTTTTTTAGAATTTTGGAAATTTTTTCAGATTTTTTGGAAATTTTTTCAGATTTTTTGGAAATTTTTTTAGACTTTTTGAAAGATTTTTTTTTGGGATTTTTTTTAGGTAATATGGAAATTATTTTAGAATTTTCAGATTTCCTTAAACTGTTTTTACTTTAATTATTTTATTGTCAACCTTTAAAGTTTTAATGAATCTCAGGCTTCCCTCAGTCCGAGATGATATTTTAACTTTGTTTGTTTAGGCCTATTTTTAACTACCTTTCAAAATTAGAGGTTTTAATTCTCACTGACTTTACTTTAGATTTTTCTTAAAATTTGAGCATTTCACGAACTGCTTTTTTATTTTGTTCATTGAGTTAGTTTTGTACTCGAGTGTGTATTTGATGTTTGCCAATTACTTTTTGCTATACTTCTTAAAGGTTGTCAATGGTGACCTACTTTGACTTATAAATCATTAACTTTGATTTTATCTATGATTTATAAATCTTTATTGGAATTATTTTGCTCTGAAATTAATCTATAATTTATAAATCAAATTATAAATCCCTTTTGGAGATGTATGTTCGTTATGTATCCAACATCCACTTCCTCGTTCTTATTTGTCTGTTTATAACTGTATACGCGTTATCTCTACTGTGTGACTTTTATTACTTTGCGTATAGTTTGTCTACGGTAAGAACCCCACCGCAAATTCTGAAACCGTCTGCTTCTATGGAAACAAGAATAGAGCACTTAGGGGAGGGTAGATTCTCTTCATTTTAGGGCTAACACAATAGACCTAAGAAAAAGATACCCTTTCTTTCACCGACTCCAGTCAAAACTTATCCTAAACAATGAGCCCACACCCCTTTTTGAAATAGTTATACCTAGTTACTATAGTCACTGCCAGGGATCCAGACGAATGGCTAGGGGAGTTGCCTGTAAGAGTTTTGCGTTAAAACAAAAAGTATAGTCACATGTACTTTGAATAACCATTTTATAACTTAACCTAATACACAATTTGATTGCGTGCATAAGCTAATCTTAAGGATTTCAAAACTTTTAATAGTCAAACAATTTGTAAATTTTTTCAAAACGAATACCCTTTTTGAAAGTTAAAATAAATATATTCGCATTTCTTCTTTAAATTGAAAATAGTTAACTATGCAATAATTTAAATTTTTTAAAATTTTAGTTAAATATAGTGAGTTGACAGTTTATTTATACAACCAACTCCTTTTTTTCTTTTCTTTTCGAGAAAAAAAAAAGCTTCGTGCGTGCAATTGTAACTTACTTGGGCAAAATTTGTAGAGATGATCGTTAATTTTTACAATATTTATATTACTTATTCAATTTGGTAGTGTGCACTCTTTTCCATAGTGGTTTCAGCATCAAGCTATGGAAACAAAGGTCCCGGGTTCGTTGGCCAGGGTTTAAAACATCGTTTAGGCCAAGACTGAAAACAGCTTTTACACATATAAAGCTAATTTAAGGCCAATGGCCGTATATTTTAGAATGAAAATGTTTTAGACAAGCTTATATGGATGGGCAAAAATTTACAGTCCATGGCTAAATTATTAGACGCACTATAATATTCTATGTAAAATCTTAATTATCAGGTGATGCACTATACAGCTTTATTGTTTCCACGCGACTGAAACCGGTTTGCATTTGTTTACGCTCCTGTATCAATTAGTTCAATTAGACGATATATAATATAAATTCGATAATTTGATAAATTTGGCGATATACTATATAAATATGGAATATTTATGATATCAGGTATTATATTAGCATATTACAATAATTAGACCAAATTATTAGACTAACTAGTTTTTTAATAATGACATGTTTTGCACGAGTTTATGAGCAATACTTTATATTTAAACATACATGTCATGGGTTTTTATTCAGATTTTCATTACGTTTTTATGTACTTTATATTTTTATTTATTTTAAGCGTATTGCATTACAATGTTAACCAATTGATGCATAAGCGTAAACAAGTACAAACCGGTTTCTGTCGCATAAAAACAATAAAGCTGTATAGTATCACCTGATAATTAAGATTTTACATAGAATCTTATAGTGCGTCTAATAATTTGACCAGGAACTGTATTTTTACGATACATGAATGGTAAGTTATATGCCAGTCACTGACCGTAATATAGAGGTCAGTGACTGTGATTAAATAAATTTGAAATTAGATACAGTTTTAGGGATATGTCGTAGAATATTATTTATTCTCAGCCATTCAAAATGGGTAAAAATAAAAAAGAACGCATGAAATCACAAAAATATATAAGTGGACAGAAAAAAAGAAACTTTTATTGCGGTTCTGAATATTTTTTTTTTCTTAATCGATTACATTTTCATAGAGACGTCCGGAAGTGTTGCCAAATTTCCCTTTCTAAAAAAGAACTCATTCTCTGAAATAACTTGTTCTAGAAAAGAGCTCCCATAAATATTACCAGGCGAAGAACAGAAGNATATATAAAACTTCAGTTTTCGTGGGGATAATTGTTCCCCACTGAATTGGCACAGATTACATAAAAAAAAATTTTCAGAATTTTTCTTTTTGTTTTCGGTGTATTGGAGGGTGTATTCGGTGCATATGACTATTTTTGGCAAAAGACGGGGGTGGGGGAGGCAAAGCTTACAAAATTGAATTGCTATTATTTTCAGAAGTCATTTATATAAATGGTATTTCCTGTTCTCTCTTATCATAATTTCTAGGAGAGAGAAATTTATTTATCATTTTATATGTTTCTGACTTTTCTTTTTTAGAGAGTTGACTAGCTACATCAAATTATTGTTTGGAGAAGTCGATACATTGTGTAATATCACGATGGGTCATACAAGCATGAAAGGTCCAGTTTTAAAAAATGTAGATTTAATTAAATGAAGAATAATACTTTTTTTTTTATAGTTCGATTTTTATTAATAATTTCCGAATTCCAAGTACCCGAATACCAGGACATGGCTCCAAAACACAGAGTTGCCACAGAAAAAAAATGAACAAAATAGTTGCTTCTGTAGCCTAAAGCATGAAAATAGTCGCCTAAAATTATGAAAATAGTTGCCTAAATAAGAACAAAAACTTTGCAATAATATGACTAAAATTTTATTAAATGACTTCATTGTAATATACTATGATATACTTAGTCAAGTTAATGACCAGTATGATAATTTTCAAATAAACGTTAGTTGTTCTAGCATTAAATTTTTATATAAAAAAATTGGTATGTTTGCAGAACATTAAATACTTTTAAATGCTAGAATTAATTTAAAAAAAATAATATTTTATTAAAAAAACATACTCTTTCCATTAAATTTCCCTTTTATCAATAATTGATTTAGCAATTATATATAGATATATTAAAAAGTGATTACTAAAATTCGAAATTCATGCACCATAATATCGTATTAAAAATTGGGTTCTTTAAATGATGCAGAGTTTCGTAGCAATAACTGTTGAAAAAGAGATTGAGAAACAAAATAGATTCACAATGGAATCTGTGCAAATTGAGAGCATTAAAAAGTGATGACTCAAATTTGCAGTTCAATATTTGGTTAATTTTTAAGAAAGAAAAAAATTGATTATGTTCAAAAGCTACCGCGGGCCGTACGTTGTCAACTCAATTCACGCTAAAAAAACATTGCAGGAGCACAGAAAAGTCTCCCAATAGTCTCCTTTTTCTGAAAATAGTTGCTTTTTTAGCCTTTTCAGGCAAAAAAAGTTGCCATAGTTGTCTCAGGTCAAAAATAGTTGCAAATAGTTGCATTTTAGTCACCTGTGGCAACCCTCTAAACAAGGAGAAAAAAAACCCACCAATGTTGATAGTAACTAGCAAGTGTATACCGGACAACCTTTCACCTTAAAAATAAACCAGTTTAGAATAATGGTTCCCAAAAGGCGTTACGGAGAACCGTGGAAAGGTAACAGTGGCTTCGAGTGTTGGGCTTTTAAACCTGTATCTATATTTGTATCCAACCAATAATCCATAATTTATTTAATATTTCGGTTATCTTTCATTGCAATTTAGCTTAAATTATTTTAAATTAAGAATATAATGATTTTGATTGAAGAAGAAATTAAGAAGATAATGATTCTATACTTTAATCTAAATTACTTTGTAGTTTTTTTTTGCTGCATTCAATCACAGTTCTTAATGAACTTTATTTATACAGTCAGAGTTCCGCTGAACGAGCTCTAGAATTCGGAGTTCCATAGATTGAGAAACGGTCGTAGGAATACCGGGAAACTCACATGATGAATTGATATCCTGTTTCATCTCACCGTTATCATTACAAACTTCTCACTTTCTCATAAAAAAAAAGAAACTGAACTAAGTTTTTGCCCCGAGAAACTACGTTAACCTGATATTGATTAATCATACTCAAACTAGTTAAAAGTATCAAAGAATCTTATTTCATACTTTGCTAGTGTTTCATTTGGTATTGTATATATTACTATGAATGACCGAAATTGGTTGTTGACATCCACCGGTGAATGTTGACAGTCACATAATCGCTTTGGTAAATATTAGAAATATATACTAGTTCAACTAAGTGCCACTGCCCGATATACATTTAACCGGTACTCCAAACACTAATGTTTATCCTAATATATCCTCAGCAGCTATTAAAATATGGAATAAATATAAAAAGATCAAAGAATAAATTAATATCAAATCGAATATAACAAATATTTTGGACATTCACCAAAGCGACTATGAGATTGCTGATATTCATCGGAGAAAGTCGACATTCTCCTGATTTCAATCATTCACGGTAACATGTGCAATGCTTATGGGCAGTGGGTGAATTGTTTAATCACCTCATACTTCAACCGCCAGTTTTCGGTGTTCTATACGATGCTGCCATTTCCCACATTGATAATATAGATTCAAATAAAAGGTGGTCATACTTACCGACCACTTGAATCTTTCCCACGAGGTTCTTCATTGGAGATGTATTGACTTGACACATGTAGTGTCCTGAATCGGACTCATTGACATTCAGTATCTGCAACCACCACGTTCTGTAATTGTTGTGCGTGATCTTGTACCTGGGATTGCGAGTGACCACTCTGTCGTGTAACGTGAGCAAGGTGTGCCGGTCCATGTGGATCCACGCCACCTGCGAAATATTACATTCTAAAATTATACGAAGCAAGGCGTGGGAAGTGTTGTTATCAACAATGTCAACCTTCATCTATGAAAAGGTACCCGCCATAAAATCGAGTTAAATTGTTAATGTCTTATATACTAGTCAATTGGAATTGTATTTTTGTAGTGGTAGACAAACTATACAAGAAATTATTTTTTGAATGTATCGCCTCAAACTAAATGATCTTTATAGCTCAATTTTGTTGTTGGATTGGTTGTTCTATTTTCTGGGAGATTTTTTTCTTGTTGTTTCGGTATACCTTATTTTGTTTACTGCAAACGAAATAATTTTTACAGAGAACAATTATACAATTCCAAAAATTAAAATTTATTCTAGTTTAATTAAACTTTTTTTGAAATTCAACTCTATATTTTTTTCAACTGATATTTTCTTGTGCTCACGTATTAATTTTATTCACATTTGTCAGAATTATTTTTTGTTGATCAAACATAATATGTAAGACAATGAAGAGAGAAAAAAAATATTTGTTTTTAAGAATGAAAAAACTTTATTACAATTATAACACATTTTGTAAAATATTTTTTGTATATTTCCAGAGCTTATCGACTTCAGTGAACAGTAATTATTAATGCTGAGATAAGTATAGTTCCTTGTGATAAGTGTGACTGATATCGACTTCAGTGAATAGTATTGATTAATGCTGAGATATGTATGGTAAGTTGTTATGGCTACTGATATCGACTTCAGTGAACAGTATTGATTAATGCTGAAATAAGTATGGTCCCTTGCTATGTTGGCTGATATCGACTTCAGTGAACAGTACTGATTAATGTTGAGTTAAGTATGGTTCCTTGTTATGGTGGCTGATATCGACTTCAGTGGGCAGTATTGATTAATGCTGAGATAAGTAGTATGGCTCCTTGTTATGGTGGCTGATATCGACTTCAGTGGACAGTTTTGATTAATGCTGAGATAAGTAGTATGGTTCCTTGTTATGGTGGCTGATATCGACTTCAGTGAACAGTATTGATTAATGCTGAGATAAGTATGGTTTGCTATGTTGACTGATATCGACTTTAGTGCACAGTATTGATTAATGCTGAGATAAGTATGGTTCCTTGCTATGTTGGCTGATATCGACTTCAGTGAACAGTATTAATTAATGCTGAGATAAGTATAGTTCTTTGTTATGGTGACTGAGAGTAGACGTAAGACCAAAATGGTAAAAAATTAAAAGTTTTAGCTATTGAGAATGAACATATGATCGAAAAGGGTTAAAGATCAAAACTTGTTTGCCTATTTTAGTGTGAGCGTAAACTTTCAGTACATAATGATATGCGATGCAATTATTTGTGGGTGTAAACTATCAAAATATTTTTTGCTTCTTCGATATTTTGGAAAACACCGGCAGTTGTATTTAAAAAATCAAGGCTACTAGCCAAGAATATACATATAGGGGAAGAAGGCTAGCTTTCGTAACCAAAATGTAAACCAGTTCCATAAGGTTTGGTGCGGCCCCTGTGCATAAAGGAAAAAATAATATTTAGAGGTACAGCAGCTGAAGTTTTTGAAACGGACTAGCACCCTCCTCTCTTCCAAACCACTATTGAGGTTGAGAAGATTTTTTTTCTTCTTATTTATTATTGGTCTGCTCTACATTTCTACACTATTGATAAAAGGGTAGTGTACTGTTAATTAAAATATTTCTTTGAGAAACAATTTATATCATCCATGTTGATTAAATCTGATGACACATTTTGACACAGAAAGAAAGAATACCTAAATCAAAATTTTTGATGGTTTTTGATTGATGGACCCACATAATCTTGATGGTAACCATCAATAATTCCATCATGAACTACGTATTATATTTTTCATGGTGACCAACATAAGAAACCATCACCCCTATATAGTATTTCGGAATGATTTATGATTGTCCATTATAAGAATAGCAACTTACTTTGATGGTTCGTTCATGTTGAACTATCAGAAATTTTCATCATAGTTTCTTAGAAATCAAATGTTGGAACGATCATGAACAACCATCATCCCGATGTAGAAATTCGTACTGATTTATAATGATCCAACATAAAAGAAAAAACAGAAATTGTTTTGATGGTATATTTCTGCTGAACCATCTAGAATTCTCTTTAAACCATCATGGAAATGTATAGTTGAAACCATCATTGACCATCACGGATCAGCATGAATTGTTGGTTCATAAGAATCAAACTTCTCTCGATGGTGAACGATCATAGTATTAAAGTAGCATTTTCCATCATGGAATGATGGAAGTTTGTTGACATGTCAACCATGCACGGATTATGGAAAATGCTGGATGATACTGATCATCAAATGATGTTTGACCATCATGAATCGCACTGAAACCAACATAAATCATTAAAATTTTTTGATTTGACCATCAAGAATTTTGAATCAGCGTACCCTACCGTACATTTAGAGCTGCCCAGTTACCGGTTCTCAGGTGACGTACCTCCCGACAGTCACTTTGCTTCTTATGCGCTTTGCTTCTTATGATGCTCTGTTAAAACTGAGTCTGTTGTTCCCCCTGTAAGTTGTTTTTCTGGTGTAGCATACCTAACCGAGCAGTTCCTAGCATTAGTTACGTATTCTAAGAGCTGGACTTCTTCTCCTTTCTATATTCTTTGGTAACTAGCGTGCTATCTGCTCCACTTTTAAAAATGATTATTTTTTTTAAAATCTAAAACTAAAAAACTCATTTTTGAAGAAATGTCAATATATATATTTTTTTAAACTTCTTTTATTTTTCGAGAAGATTATTTTTTTTCATTGCTAAAAAGTAATTAATTACTTTTTATCTGTAAAAACTGTAACTTTAAATATATTATTCTAGAAAAGAGAAACATTGGATACATTTCAATTACTGCACTCTTTTACAAGGTGGTATCTAATCTCTTCCTTTTCGACAGGGGTCAGAAAAAAAATTGCTTCAGACAAAAAAATAAATTGTTTGAGTGTTTGAGAATGAAAAAAAATATTCTAATTTGAGTTAAAACAAGCATTCCTGCGGAGTAAGCACAAAATTTTAAATGATTATATAAACATTACTTTTTAACGGTTAGAATTTTAACAGGCCATAAAATAGTATTCGGTTTATTTATGATTCATATATTTAAGTTTCTTAATATATTTCCACAGCGTAAAAGATTGTAGTTTTTCAATAACCACATTTTATGTTTACTGTCGTTTACAGTCCCTTGCCAATTATTAAACGCACTATAAGATTTTATGTAAAATCGTAATTATCGGGTACTATACAACAGTGTTCCCCAACATTTTTATCACCACGGACCTGTGAACCAGGGGCGTACGCAGAATTTTTTCAAGGGGGGTGTTCATAATTTTCTGAAACTACTAAAAGAAATTCGAGTCTGTAATAAAGCACTATTATTTCTCTAATTTAGACAGCTGGACAATTTTGACTTTTTGACAGCATTTAACCAACATTGTTTAGTTAAATTTTGATTTGATTTTTTAAGTTTAAGAACATAATGTAATAACTTTTGAAAAAAGTCAAATGTCATATGGGTGGGAAGTAACACTTTGAGGGCCACTTTCACATTCATCAGATTTTGTTATGCTAGAAACGTTTTCTTCAACGGAAGTATCACATTTCTGTACAACAGAGAAACTTACATTGGTACTAGATGCTGTCACCTCACTAATTTCAGGTCGTGATTTTTTCTCAAAATAATTAAAATTTTTTAAATTCTTGCCTTTTGACATCCTAAAGATCCGCGGCCCGCAGGGGGAGGTGGATTGTTTATATTTCAGATTATTTTGTTTTATTAATTTTAATTTAATTGTATTTAAACATGCCTTCAAAATAAAATACAGCTACACCTAAAAATAAATATAAAGTGATGTAACATATTAACTTACTATAACGTTAAATCAATGAGAACCCAAAGCTTGTTTCTCTGCAATGAGACGGTTGCATCTGGGGGTAATCGGAGACAATGATGCATTACAAATATTAAAAAATTTATGTCACTACCTTCGGTTCAAAATAAATAAAATTTTAATGGAGCACAGATATTTTTAATTTGGGGTATAAATCTAGGAATTTAAATTCCGTTTCAATGAAATGGGCGCCCCGGTGCCATTTTATCCACGGACCGGGAGTTAGGGAACACTGCTATACAACATTATTATTTTTACGTGGCTGAAACCGGTTTACACTTGTTTATGTTCGTGCATCAATTGGTTACCATTGTAATGCAATACGTTAGAAATAAATACAAATAGGAAGTATATAAAAAATATCCTGAATAAAAACCCATTGCACATTTGTTTAAGTACCAAAGTATTGCATATAAACTCGTGCAAAACATGTCATTATTAAAACACTTCAGTACGTCTAATAATTTGAACTAATCATTATAATATACTCATATAATACCTGATATAATAATTATTCTATATTTATGTAATATATTACGTAATTTTCGCCAATCTTCGAATTTATATTATACATTATCCAATTTAACCAATTCATACACAGACGTAAACAAGTGCAAACCGGTTTCAGTCCCGTAAAAACAATAAAGCTGTATAGTATCACCTGATAATTAAGGTTTTGCATAGAATCTTATAGTGCGTGTAATAATTCGACCAGGGACTGTATTTCGTTTCTAAACTAAAAGGCGAAAATGAAGCAATTTTAAATTTCAAACTAACCGTGTGATTACATAGCCTCATCTATCAAAATTTTCTTTCACTTTTCTACCCACTTAGTGAAAACGTTTTTTTTTTATCACGTAGCACATTAATTACTTATAGTTTTATGTTTCTGATTAACAGTTTTCAGCACTTTCTTAATTATATCCTAAAAGCTAATAAATAATGAGTCTGAAAAACGATTCATCGTAAAAATCACTTAATAAACTTTCAAAAAAAATACTACCACTACGGCATACATATAGTTTTTTGTGAGTGAGTTCGTGAATTCA